CTAAACGCCGCGACCCTCCAAGTAAGTCGTACACGAATGTCCTGGAGTGTAGAAGGAATTTTAACGTGAAATGACGGAAGCTCAAGGACGAGAGCGTCAGCGTCAGGCCGAAAATGAGGTACAGGGTCAGCAGAGAGGCTACACCCCAAAGAACCAGCAGCGTTTAAACAGAAACTGACAAGAGTGCCACGACCTGCCTGTTGACCTGGAAGCCGGACTCATGCATCTCATATCCCTGAAATCAGTGCTGCAGCTGAGCAGCATCTCGCAGGATCTGGACGACCGAGGCCTCAAACAAGAAAAGGCACTCATGAGATCAGCCAGCTCTCGGAATGATCGTGCTACTACTCTCGGAGACCTGTCTATCCCTGGTCCTCGTATCCCACGGCGTGGCATTACCCGTCCGCACTTGGTCACACAACCAACCCCCAACTGCCATTGATGGTTTCATTGCCGGAGCCAGACCTACAGGGACAACCTACAATCCTCAGGCCCTGGAGCTCAGAGGGTCCAGGACCAAAATTGAAACTGCAAGTATCACTACAGTATCAGAGAAGCTTTTGAGGGAACTTTGCCAAGGGCCAGACCATGTCCGGAGCCACCAGGACCTGAACAGCCCATCACATGGGCTTATGGGCAGACTCTCGGGGTTTGCGGTGAAAGCCCCCACCCGTCCACTCAAGCTTGACATGCCCAGGCTGTGGCATTCAGAACACAGAACGCAATCTTCTCGATCAGACTGACATGCATCGAAATACCATGTTGTTTAATCTTAGCTTCTTGCTCATGAGATTTGACAAGATTCTTCGATGCAGTCTTCAGAGGCAGCCTGAAGCACAAACAACACTTCCAAACCATCCTGCCTGGGTGTGGATGGCTTCAAACGATTTCACCGACTGGTCAGCATGGCAGGGTCAGGATGCGGTCAGGCTTTGAGGCTTGGAAATTCTGGAGCACGCGTACCGTCGTTACTCATGGATTTCAAGCAGCCCTTTCTTAGCTTTCAGGAAGCAAGCATCCATTGTGTTAATCAATGCTCTCTAGACCATCATTAGCCTTCTCAAACAGCAAACTGCTTGCATGGTGCTCCGTACAGCAGAGCACGAAAATCTTGGACAGTGTATTAAACGTACCTCATCTTGATGCACTGCCCAACCCCAAATCCGACAGTTGCTGCCTACTGTGTCGGAAACCCGTTGTAATGTAAGATGAAACCACCTGACAGAAGCCACCACAACGTCACACGTTGTGAGAAGCAGATCTTCCCAACAGAACCTTTCGTGGCGCACTTTTCAAGATGCTCAGGTGGACCCAATCTTGACTCATATGAGGGTGACGTCTACTCCAAACCCTTTACTAAGGATCCCTACCTAGAAGAGGTCGTCAACTTTGAGACGTACCGACATACCGCATAACCAAAGCAGGAGCCTGCAGGAGCTCCTGACGCTTGGGTCCCTCTGCCGTCTCAAGCAGCTGCCTGGGCAAAGTAAGTGGCTGGAATCTTGTGGACCATTGCTTTGCATGGCTGTGTGCCTCTTTGAGGCGACGTTCTGTGGTTCCTCCGGGCTTTGAGCGATAGGATCCCCTCATAAAAGGACGCCAACAGAAAAGATCATGGTTTTCTGTTTTGGATGGTGCTGGCACATGCTGAAAAACAAGAAATGGTGTCCTTCATGCAACATAAAATCAGAGGCTCAAAGTTTTGGATCATGGAGGATTTAGAGAATTGCAGGTGCGTTTGGTAGAAGGTCCAAATCGGGACTTAAAAGACCAGGGGCCACGAGTGGCTTTGCAGTCTTTTTGTTGCGCATTTCCTGTCCGGGAATTGATTTATGAAATGCCAGCCCACATGTCGGACTGGGCAGAAGGCGGCGAAGCAACGGCATTGGGCCCCAACTTGAACGGCACGTGTAAAGGTGTCCATCCGCCAATCCGCAGATGCACCCGCCTCCACAAGACCTCGAAGAGGATCCTCTGGGCTGTCTGTGCTGCTTTTCTTGTTCCCTTCGGCTCCTGCCTCAAGAAGCAGCCGTAGAACCTCAACATGGCCTTCACTTGCAGCAGTGAGAGGCGTCCTCAAAAAACACCAGATCCCTCATTCGTATTGGCGCCAGAATCCAAGAGCAGGCGGACAATCTCAGCCTTGCCTCGTTGAGCTGCCAACTCAAGCGGATCCAAGCGGCGTGGTGCTGATCCAGCGATTTGACCCTTCTTCAAATTTCAAGTTGCTGTCAGAGCGGGCCTCAAGCGGCAGGCTGGCTATCTCCAGGTTGCCTTGAGCACCTGCTTGGCCCGGAGCGCCGACTGCAAATCCACAGGCAAGTCCATTATCTTCACCAAAAGACTCATGAAGGTCTTGTGCGCGCCGCAAACATCGCTCAACCAAAGATACTTGACCTGTTTCAACTGCTGTTATGAGCTCGGCCACCTTCTCCTCCTGCACATCTAAGAAAGGTGGCAACACTGCACGTCGATGTAGCATTTAAGATCGTGAGGTCCCTTAGTTCGCATGTTCTCCTCTTTCTGGCTCTGGGCATGCGTGCCACCCCGAGCAGCATGGTTGGTGCAAACCACAAGCTGCACACATCTTCACCTGCATCTTTAACGCTTGAGGTGAAGGGGATCACGCGACCCTTGATGGTGATGGAAGGGCTACTGATTGAACTCGGCATTCCCCAAAGCAAACCGCGAAACCCGACACTCTGCCGAGGTCTGTGCGGAAAGTTGCCAAGGAGCCGCCCTAGCCGCGAGGAGTTCGCCTCAAGGTTGCAGAAGTATTCGCTTACTCATGGTGCTCGAAATAGCACACAGGACAAGGTCCAAAAAGCAACACCCAAAACCCGCAAATCCTTCGCAAAGCCACTTTGCAGAAACCCCACCACACTGGTCTCAACTCAGTTCCATCTGCAGTGCCTCCTGCTTCAAATGTTTCATTAGCTCCTGGCGCGTCGCCTGGCTTGCTGCGGCAAAATGGGGCTGGAATCATCCGATCCCTGGATTGGGCTATGGCTAAGGGCTGGCCACATGTAATTTGCAAAAAACGATGGCAAGTTATCATGAAGGAGACAGAGTTGGTACCAGTGACGCGACCAACATGTAACATCTTCACAAGCGACGACAAACATGATCGCAATGGCTCACTCCTCTCTTTGTTGCGGCTTTTGACAAAGGCCTTATAGCAAATGATTGCGAAATGTTGCAGACAGTGTCAAACTTGTTGCTGACGTTGCTTTGAGCGGATGCTGAGCAAGTAGGTCTTGAAGGGACTTTCATGTGCCAACCCGCAGGTTCAAAAAGGGGCGATTCGATACGCTTTCAGTGAAAACCCTGCACCGTCCTGCACCCAGATCTGACACCAGCTAGTCACTAGCCTCCGGCATCGCTGCCAGGGCTGCTCGACGCTCATCTGCTGGCATAGCCTTCGAGGCTTCTGAGGTTTTGTGCTTCTTCTGCGCGTATAGAAGCTTCGAATTCGAATGTTGTCGTGGGGCTTCGTGCGTCGCGGTGTAGGGGTTGACTTCCCTGACATTTGGCGTTCTGAGTTCAAGTCTAAGTTGAAGCCCGCCAAAGTGCAAGTTGCAAAAGGGTCATAGCAGGCTTTGACATGAGGATGCCATACTCATGTCTGAAAGCTCACATCCCCCTGGCACAAAGCTCAAGCTTTTTGCATCCATGCCTGGGCAAACGTTGTGCGGCTCAAAAGCAAACGAAGGGCGTGCTTGCAAGGCCAAAAAAGTGGCAACGCCAAACAGCCTTGCATCGTAAAGCGCACCCAAACGCTTCTAGGGCGTGCTTGCACGGCCAAAAAAGTGGCAACGCCAAACAGCCTTGCATCGTAAAGCGTACCCAAACGCTTCTGTACCGGGTGGGCCGGGCCGGCCGAAAACTTCCGGTCTTTGGCAATCAGACATGTGCACCATGTCTGAAAGCTCACATCCCCCTGGCACAAAGCTCAAGCTTTTTGCATCCATGCCTGGGCAAACGTTGTGCGGCTCAAAAGCAAACGAAGGGCGTGCTTGCAAGGCCAAAAAAAGTGGCAACGCCAAACAGCCTTGCATCGTAAAGCGTACCCAAACGCTTCTGTACCACCTTTGCACCAGGCCGGTCGGCAGAAAGGCCGACGAGCACGAGTCGTCGCTGAAGTCACCGTATAGCAAAGCAGAGAGCGGCAGGCGGGTTACTTTGAAAACCGAAGGAACGGGTAGAAGGCTGAAGCAGCTTTCGTCTTCCTTCGGGCGACCTCGGACAATCCGCCTAAAGCGGTAATGGCGCCGACCTCCTGCAGGTAGAAGCCAAGGGTCGCCTGGTTCTTCAGGCGCATCCTCCATTGTATCTCACTCACAGCCGTGCCAACACGGTAGCAGTACACGGCACCTCCTCCACGCAGGCCTCCGGGCGTCAGCCGCAGGGTTTTGTCGATGGCCAGGCATGCCAACAGCTTGTTCCAGCGGTACCTGTAGCCAGCGGGACTCAAAGCGAAGAGACGTTGAGCCGGCTGGTGTCCGACAAAAGCAAGTTCGCACAAACCAATGGCGTCGGAGTCCCCGATCTTCAAGTGCTGCACACGTGACTGTCCGCGGGTTGAAGTCTTCGAACGGCCCAGTCTGAGGAAGGCGGCGCCACTCTGTTGCCAAAGATCACCCCGGGCAAAAGCAGGTCAGCTCGGATACAAGCAAGAACCTCACCAATACGTCCAAGACCATAAAAGGCAAGCAAAGTAACACCGGCAAACTCTTTCCAGCCCAAGAGCCAAGCCAAACTGACCAAGGCCTTGAGAACTGGCTCGGGGATAGGAGTCCGGTGGCTCGGAGGCTCAACGTTCTCCCATCTACTCACCAGCTCCCAAGCAACCGAGGCGTACGGTTTCAGACCCAAGAACTTCCTTTGCGCAGCCAGGATCGTGTGTCGCAGCTCATGCAAAGACCTCCCAGCCGTGTACAGCCAGTTCCCGTAAGCACGGAGGGCCATGGCGAGGAAAACAGGAGACCGACCAAAGACATCAGAAGAGTCAAAGGACGAGACAGAGGAGACCCAGGACAGGAAAGACAACCAACCCTTATCCCCCAACCTTAAAGTGGCAGCAGTGAGCAAGGGCAGGGCCTCAAGACCAGGCCCAACACGGGTCCTACGCAGGCGCTTAGGGCCAGGGTGATCAGCCTCACCTGGACGTCCTGAAGGCTGCCGAGCAACAGGGACCCCATTACTGCGGGGCCACGCGGCAACGACTGCTGATGCGACCTCTCGGCAGAGGTTCCTCGGATAGGCTTGGGCCACACGCGTCCAAGACGCTCGGTGCTTGGAGGATCTCCCTCGGAGGATGAGGTGCGCCTTCTTGCACCGACAAAGCGCGCGAGCGCCGGCAAGCCTAGTGTTAGTGGCCAAGCGGGTTCGCTTGCGCCACCGGGCTCCGTACCGACACATGTCAAAACGGTAAGTCTTCTCCGACGAGGAAGGGCCGTAAGCTGCCCACTCAGGCAGGAGCCACAAGAAGGACCCGTCAGGGTTCTCGAAGTACCTCTACGGAACTGGCGCAGAAGGCGGGCCAGCCACCCGGCCTGAGAGTTCCCAACTCTGACCTTCTCAAAAGCTTTGGCCGGAAGGCCTGGTAAGCCTCTTGGACAGGCTTTGCTGCGCCAAGCGGGGTGCACGGCCCGGGAGAAGGAGGCGCACACAGGTGCAGCGCCAAAGCCATCAAATGCCTCAAGCTCGATGAGCCTCTCAACTACCTTGCGCACATGAGGATTGTCAAGATTTTCACAACTGGAGCGCCGCAGGTCAAAGGTCAGCGCAAGACGCACAACCTCACGGGCGATCCCACACTCTCCTGAGAACAAGTCGAAGTATCCAGCCTTGGTGAAATCCAGCGGCCCATGCTGAGGAAAGAACTGCCGGCGCGGCAGCAAGGACAGGAGCTCAGCAGCCGTCAAAGCTCCCAGGTCAGGACCAGGCTCCTCCAGGGCGTTCTTGCTCCTGGCACTCTCGCCTTTCCTCCGCCTAGGTTTAGCGGCCCTCCTCTCTCTTAGGGGGAGGGGGCATGTCAACACGGGTTGGGGCAGGAGGGAGCTTTGCAGGCAGACTCTCTGGCCGGATGAGGCTGTTCAGAGCAGGGGACGATGACCTTCCCTTGGCCAAACAAGCGAGGGCCACTTGGCTGTCCAAGCCAGCCAAGAAACGCACGCTGCAACACCGACTGGCCACTCGTTCTTCAAGGCGGAGATACGCAACAAGTTCCTTCACATTAATATGTGTAGAAGCACGCACGTCCCCGCAGAAGACTTGCCGGTAGGATAGGCTTCGAGCCAGGCATCTCCACAAGGGATGAGGCGTGAGAGCTTCCCCTCCGGGCAACTCATGCTCAGCGTCAAGCAACGACCTGGTTCGGAGCCAAGCCTGGGGCTCAGAAAGCAGCTTAGCCCAGCACCCTCTCCTGAGGGAGTGACGCCAGACCTCTTCAGCAACCCTGGCAGGCAAAGGGCGACTCCGGCAACCTTAGTGTCCGAAGCATCAGTGGCGTACAGTGTGTCCAGAACTGGCGCTCTGAGATCTGCCACGCACGCCGACCCGATGAGAGTCCAAGTCCAGAGCTCATCGACAAGGCCGGCCGAAAGACGGATGATGTCACTCCCAGCAGTGGCACGGAGAGCTTCGAAACAGAGTCCGAAAAGGCTGAGGCACCGACGACGCAGCAAAAAGATCGAAGTCCAGCAGCCCACCAGGGACTCGAGCAAAGGCCGAGAGCACAGGCCAAGCGCGGCCACACGGGCAGTGATGCAAGTGAGGGGTCCTAGGCGGCTCATGTTCGGGCGAACAAGGCACTCTTCCCCGTCAAGGGTGACCCCCCAAAAAGAGGCGATGGCTTCGTCGCGAGCTCCTTTGGCAGGGTTTGCAAGCAGGCCGGCCTCACTATACGCACGGTGCGCCATGTCCAGTCTCACGGGCCCAAGGCGTCCTTCAGGCTCGGGCTCAAGGCAACCCCGGACAACCCGTTCCAAGATCACAAGGTCGTCAATAACAATTCCAACAGACAAGAGCCCTCGCGGCGGGGGCGAACACGGGCACAACAATTCTTCAGGCGAGATGACGCCGTGCCGGTACAGGAGACCGAGATGAGATCCCTGAGCGAACTCGCAAGAGGCATTGTCTCCCATTGCCAACGTCGAAAGAGCAACGTGAATGAATCCACGGGCATCCTCAAAAGCCGTCTGCCTTGTTCCAAACACAGCTATGGCATCTCAGCCGCGTAGCCAACACGTTTCGTTGCAGGCGCTGCTCGGAAATCTTAAAGAAGTAAAAGAAATCCTTGAGGTCGGCAGTCGAGACCCTGAGGCTCTCTCTGGGTCCCACCAGCATAGGCAAGAGGACTGAGGCGGAGGCGAGAGAGCCCGTCCAGAAACAGGGCGGCACTTCCAAGGAGTTGGCTGGCCTGGCATCTAAAATCAAAGGCTCCCGTTCCATGTCCTTGACCACTGAGAAAAGGCCAGCCGAAACGCCACTCCGACAAGGCTCAGGCTGAACAGGTTTTAGCCGACCAGACTGAGCCAGCGCTCGGAGGAGTTTGACGCGCTCCTCAGGAGAGGCCATGATGGAGACACGGGGCAGGGGATTGATCGGATCAGGCGGGGTTGCAAAGTCCAACGGAGAGTCGTACCTTTTGGCGGTGTAGGAATCCAGGTAGGGCCTAGGGTCGAAAGAAGGGGCTTCAGGGAAACGCAACCGATTGGCCTGAATGCTTTTTGCAGGGCAGAAAGGGGGGACCGGCAGGTCGCCCACAACACGTCCGAAAGGGGCCGGAAGCCGCACGCACTCCGCTCTACTGTCAGAGGACCGTGCAGCCCCAGCCGAAAGGTCGCAGGGCTCAGAAGCAACAGGCTTGTCACTTCTAGCCGAAGAAGCAAAATTGGCGACGGCTCGTCCAAGTGCCTCGAGAACTTTGTTGTGGTCCTCGGCTTTAGACGCGGCACGGCCCATGAGGGCAGGATCAAGCTTGTAAGTCTTAGTACTATCATAGATCAGGCGCTCCAGGGATCGCACGGCCTTCCATTGTTTAGAAGACAGCGGTCGACCCTTGCCATGCTCTGAGGGGGCACGAGTTGGGCTGCCAAGAGCCAGCCAAGACAGCGAGGCAACAACTAAGTTGACCCGTTTCCGCAGCCAGGCAGTGGGCCCGGAAGGGCCGGGAGAAAAGACCTCAGGGTAAGGCAAGGGACAGGGCCAAATCAATGACGTATCGGCTGTCAGGTTCACAGCAGCATCATGGCACGGAAAAATGATGCAAAAGGAGTCCTGCACTTTAAAATCCAAGAGGGCAGGCCTTGCCAAAAACCAGGCACGGAGACGCACGGGGCAGAAGCCCCAGGCACAGTCACGCCAGGCCTGGCAGCAAAAGAAGTTTTCAGCTCTCGGCTCCCTTGGTTGGGCGCGACTTCGGCTTCGGCTTGGGCTTCGGCTGAGGCTTCGGCTGCTCCTCTCCTTCTTCCAGCACAGCGCTGGACTGACTGCTTTTGGGCCGGTTCAGCTTCTCCCGTTTTTCCATGAAGTCTGCTTGGTCCCGCAGATAGTGGAGCGCTATCTCGGCCCACCTGGAGTCCAACAGACGGGAGTAGATGTTCTCCTGATCCCGACTCTCGTGCAGCCTGAAAGCGCATGGGCACGGCAGAGCTCGCTGGCCAGAGTTCAAGACCCTCTGTCCACAGCGACTTGATCGAGTTGCATCAGGGCTTCGGCCTCCTCCGCCTTGCCAAGCCTCAGAGCGTGGATGGCTCCCGAGACGCCCCACGCCGCCTTCGCGATGGTCTGAAAGGGGCCTATCCGCGAACGATGCTCCGTCCAGGACCTGGCAATGGAAGGGGCTGCGCTTCCAGGTAGCGCCGCCCCATGTAAATCTTCCTCCATCAACGAGAGGATGGTTCTGGCGATGACCTGTGGATTGTCCTGCAGCGCGGCCCTCAAGGCCCGCCTGGCTGCAGCGTTCCTCCTTAAGGAGATCCCGCCCTCTAGCGATCTGGGTCCCCAGAGCCGCCTTCTTGTGAGGACTACCAGGAGATCCAGCTGAGAGGAAGGCTTTCTTCGGGCTTTGTCCTGGGCCAACGTCTCCACCACCTGCGCCAACTTCTGGATGGCAGCGCTCACCGGATCCCACGCCGGAGCTTCGGCCAAGGGAACTTCTTGCACAGGCTCCTCGGCTTCCTCCTCCGACTCCGAAAGATGTAGCCCCAACTTGCGAGCACCTTCGCGCGACCCAAGCCCTCCGCCCAAGCCGCCGTGGTGCCCAGAAGCAACCAGCCGATTCAGCTCTGCTAGCGCCTGGGGCGTCACACCTGCATCCATCGCTGCCTTTGCAACAGTTGGGTCGAGATGGGTGAAGGCGAGGCCGGGGTTCGGCTTTGCAACAGGCTTTGCCTTGGCCTTCAGCTTGAGTGTCGGCTTGGCACTTGAAGAGGCTGGCTCCTCCTCTCCCTTCTGCATGGCCAAAAGAGCACGAACTCCCGTAGCCACCTTCGTCATAGAGGTTTCCAAGGCCGCTACCCGCGAAGAAAGGGCCTTGCGCTTCGGACCCGCCTCCTGAGTCGGCGGTCTGGTATCCCAAGCTTTCCTGAGCAGCAGCGGCCAGAGCGGCCCCGTGGGGAAACAGCGGTTGGCCATCCCCATCCATACCGAACGGATGCTCCGGCACGAGGTCGCCCTCGAACATCAAGTTCCCTTCGTGAGCAGGACCCAGGGCGCCTGCCCACACTTTCAAAGTCCCAGGGGACTCGGCTCCACGTCCAGAGAGAGCACTTTGGTCAGAGCATTGCGGGGAAGCAGGCGTTTTGCAGGCTTTCGATGCCACACTGAGTTCGGCACGACAACGAGCAAGCGAGCACCTAGCTCCCCTAAGACCACCACCTCGCACGAGCCAGGCTGGCTTGAGGCTCCGAAGCTCCACACTCCGACAGTGTACTCCAAGTCTGGCCACTCCGGGCCCATCACAGCAAAATCGCGCGGAAGAAGAGGTCCATCCTCCTCCTCCCCTGCCTCGGGGATCGAGGCCATCTCTAACGGAATTCTGGAATGCCCAGCCCTCCGCTGGCGAAGACACTTTCCACGTCTGACCTAGCAGGCAGGCCAATGCACACAGAGTTGCCAAGAGAGGCCCCACGCTTAACCAATTCCTTTGCCCCAGAGAAATGGTTGAAGACCAAAGGCGGGCTCAAGTCCCGGCCCTCAAAGTCCCTGAGGACTATCCAGAATCTCGACCCCTGAGGCAGTTGGTCACGTCCAGAAGAGCCCCTTGCAAGCACCTACGCAGCCAGGCGTTGATGCCTCGACACACTGTGTCTCGCTGAGTCCGAGGAAGGGGAGGCACCCCTTCGAGGCGAGCTCCGCTCGCGGGCCCAAGGCCCTGCAATGGGTGAGAAGGCGAGGCCGGCGCGGCCGTGGAAGCAGAAGCCGAAGGCGGCGTCTCTAAGCCAGCGGCACGAGGAGTCAACCTAGACTCTGGACTGGCAGGCTCAGACACAACGGCAAAGGATGATGGGAGGCCTGAGGAAGAGACCTCTTGGGCAGCACCGCTTTGCGCGGCAACACTGGGGCCTTCGACCCCCAACACTGAGCGCAACTCACGCACCTCAATTTGCAGCTGAGCAACCAACCGTTCAAGCTGCTCAACCCTAGCTTGCATACCCCAACCCCACTAACCCCTAGGACCGGCAGGCACCGGAGAGGAGAGAACCCCGAGTAGGGGACTGGGCCGGGCAGGCAGGCAGGCAGGCAGAGGCGAGGACCGGGGTCCGGCGAGGAAGCAAGTGCAATCACACGGGTTAGGGTCTAAACCAACCCTAAAACCCTAGTTTGGGCACAGGCGGAAGTAGTCGGCTTGAAGCCGGGTGGCAAGCCGCCTAAGCAGCACGGATCGGCAGATCCAGAAGGCCTCAAGGAGAGGCAAGAGCAGCAACCCTATCCCTATGCCTAAAAAAACCGAAGACAGACAGAACTCATGAATGACCGGGCACTCAGGACAGGGGAGGCACTCCAAGGCAGGGACCGGACCAGAAGTCAGGAGACGCAGGACCAGAGTCACCAAGGAGGCAGACGAGACCCCAGCTCCAGAAACGAGGGCCAAGTCTCTCATGAACCGAAAACTTCCGGTCTTTGGCAATCAGACATGTGCACCATAGTACGGCTGAAGGGTTCACACACATTATGAGGCTCAGGATGCAGCTTTTTTGCGGGGATTTGCTTTTGGGGAAATCAGGAAACCTATCAAGACACGTGAGCTTCTACCCAGCCACTTTGCGCAGGTGTTCTACTACCCACACGTCAATCAGACCTTTACCGCAAAATCTGACATGATGGTCCAGCTTCAGGGAGCACCTTCAAATCGCCACCAAGCTGAGCAGCAGCAAGGTGCAAAGAACACAAAGGCTCCGAACATCTCTGCACTTGCCAAGTTGCATGGAAGCTAAACTTTGCGCAATCTGAAGACGAGTGCCCAGCTCTAAGTCGTTTGAGGATGACCTGACTGATCTTGAAGCCGGTGGGCTCTTGCAGGACTCTTCACAATGTCAACATCAGCACTAGAATGGGACTTACATTGGCCTCAAGTCCACTCGATCACGCGAATGAGCCTAGCTGGGGAGACGGACCTGATGGGAGGAACCGGCTGTGAGTGCAAGCAAAACTGAATAGGTAATAGCATGTAGAATGTCTCCGCATAAGGAAAAAAGACAAGTATCTTTCGCTTGAAGTTCAACATTCCAATCCATGTGCGATTCCATGTCAGCTTCATTCAGTACCCCCGAAAGTCAAGGCAAAGACCTCAAGCTCCGCCATGGGCAATCCAGGCTGCCTCGGCAAATCCCTCATCTTTGTTTTTAACATGTACTTTAAAAACTGAGCAAAACCCTTAAGAAAATGATGCTCGGCAGCTGAAATAGTTCCTCTAAACACCGAAGGTGGGAAATGACTTGAAATCACCGAAGTCCTACTGTTCCTGACTGAAGCCTCGGCGAAGTCAGTTGCACTAGGCCAGGTAAGACTGAAATACGACAAGTCTGTGGATCTGGGGCCTTCGCGCCTTGAGTTGATTTTTCAGCCTCTTTGCCACTGCCTGCGCCTGAAAACGTCAATAAGTCATGACAACTTCTGCTCCTGAGCGTCAGGCACGACCGGCATGTGCTTCGGCAGTGCAGGGGCACCGGGCCAACGAAAGAGCCATCCTCAGCTACGAGTCTCGGCAGCAAGGTAGCAGATGGTTTGGCGGGTTTGAAGGTTTTCCAACTTGGATTTTCGGTTGGAGGTACGTGATGCCTGCCAATCTGAAGGAAGGCAAGTGTCCACAAAATGCATGCTCAGGTGAATCGCAACTTTATGCCCCAATGTTAGTGCGCCATCCCGCCATGCTTAGCAGACCCTCCTCGGGTGCCTGATTGCAACACGGCCCAGCCTGAGTGAGAGCCCTGGGAGGTGCAAAGGTGGTTGATGGCGCTGTTGGGAACGCCTGAAATAAGAGCACGAGAACACTTAGCGATAAAGAGGCATACCTCAAGAACAAACAGAAAGAGAAATAAGGCGTTGAAGGAGCTGTGACAGCAACAGTCTTTGCATCGGAACACAATGGCAGTGAATGGTCCTGCTGTTGCTGGAGTCAATTCCAGAGATGCTACTGGAGCGGTCTCAGAGACTTATCGAGATTGGCGAAGCCACATGGCTACCGGCTGGTTACTTGTGTACAAGTGCCAGAACTACTAGCCGAATCTGGCGACCGGGAGCTGAATGAAGCGCAGCAGAGGGACACAAATAAGGTTACTGCGGTACATGTGCAAGCTTCAAATTCTATGTCTCAAGCTGCAAGCACGTTGAAGGTCTACCTTAAGGAAAAGCCAGGAGGCCTCCAAACGCAAACGAATTCAAACCGAAAATGAGAACCCAGAGGCCCACAGGCTCACAGGCCATTGCAACCTCTGGCCTCCAAATCCAGGAAATCGACT